AGCATAGCTACTTCAGAGTCACCAGTAAGTAATTACCACTAGTAAACCAGTAGGCGGTGCAGGTCCTCACTGCTCTCTGCCAACTTGTCAGTGATGCCGTCTTTGTCAAGTCCCATAAGAATCTCCTTCTCTGTTGCCATCAAAAGGAATGCTTCAAGGTTCTCTTGAGTGACAGAGGTTCTTAGGCGGTTCTTCACAAATTTCAAGGTGGAGAAGGACTTTTCACAAGCCACCGGAGTAATAGATAGGGTGAGGAGGAACTTGTAGCTGTCTTGTCTGCTGAATCAACATTCTGAAGACTTCAATTACTTTATTTGCTGTTGTTTTGGACATCATGGTAATAAAGGACCCTCTTCCTTTACTTCCCATCCGCTTCTTGCTCTTCTCAATACAGTCACTTACATGCTCTTGTAGGCAAACATCATATTTGCTAAGTAATAATATAAGCTCAAGAAAATTGCCATGAGTGATGGCAATGTTTTCCAAGCTATATGCAGCTTCCTGTCGGTGTCCTCTGTAGCTAAGCCCACATTTACCAATAACTTTAACTACATCAATCACACGTTCCATGACCTGCCTCCTCTTTCTGACCTGGTCTCGTTGAACTGACATTTGCTTATCACTCAGAAGGGTACGGATGCCTGCTTTGCTGGCTCTGAGGAAAAAGGCTTCTGCACTTTCTCTATACTTTCTCTATATCCTGTACTCTCTGATGGGCATGTTTCCAGGCCTGCATGCCTCCTTTGACAAAGGCACTATCACTGGCGGAAGGTGCAAGACATACTGAGCAGAACAAGGAGCGAGTTTCTTCATTGTATGTCAGCCATTTTCTGTTTGTGCCATCTTTAGAGTGGAATACATTGGGTATTACTCTTTGAGGGGTTTGTTTAGGGTAGTACTAAAAAATAACTCGAAATCCTTGGAGGTTGGGCAAAATAATCAAATGGATTTTCAGTGCTTTCGCTGTCCCTTTCTATTTCCCGTGTACTGGGCTCTGAACCTCTCCCTCTCTCTCTGTCTCTCTCTCTCTGCACATCTGGTTGCTCTGCAGAATGAGATTAACATTGTCAATAACCTAAACTTAAACTTGTATAACTTGCAGTTATTGATTGTATGCCCCCCCAAATACAGTCATAGTGATAATCTCATAAAGCACATATTAATCTAAAATCATAACCTACATGTTTTGGTTTGTGCTCTTAAATTGTACCTGAAGATTACTGCGAGATGCAAGATTCCTCTGAGTCTGACCCATTTCTGCAGGTGCACCTGAAGTTGTAGTGCTGCTACAAAGAAATCATTAGGGCTGTCGCGGTGAAGTAATTTCCAACGCGGCATTATGGCTCAGCAGCGTGGTATGTTGTATTATCACATTTTTCATCAATGAAGTAATTATAGCAGAGTAAGAGTGTCTGTATCTGTCACCTCACTGCACAGCGAGCCGCTAACAAGTCTGAGCAAGCTAGCTGCTGTGTGCTAGTCAGCAACATTGCCAAGCAAACTCCTTTTTGTAGTTTGACCACAGTTTCTCTGGACTGTCCCTCAGGATCACAACGTTAGTCCAATATCGCCAAGCATGCTAGCCACATTAGCCACACAATATGCAAACGCCAAGTTAGCTAACCTTTAAAATAAACAGTAAAACAACACAAAACATAGCAACACTTACAGCTTCAGAGTTTGAAGTCGGGTCACGTACAGCCCATGGCCGTTACAGAGCTTGTTACGGTTGTGGAACTTTTGAAGCACTCATTTATTAATTTTAAAAAATTAAGGTATTTCTTGAACCATTTGGAGTATATGCATGGTTTTGGGCTTCTCTGAAAGATAACACTCTAACCCAAATGTCAGAATGATTGCTATTGGAATTGATTAATCTAATTTTAAACACACTAAAACTAATTTTTTGTTTTCATGCAGACAACTATAGCTGGGACATTTTAGCTGGAAAACACTGTAGGGCCACAGCATAAAGCCTTACCTAGTCCAAGTTTGAATTTCATACCAATGCCATGAAAAAATACTATTTCACACAGGTTTTTCTAAGAGTATGTCTTAGCGTACTTTGTTCAAAACAGCACCATATCAGCCAGTAACTTGACACCGAAGTGTTTTTTTGCTGCTAGATCATGAACTTCCCACTTAAAGCTGGATATCGTTATTTTCATAATTTTATTGGCTAAACGAAGTGCCAGTCATTGGCACAGTTGGTTGTAATAAGCTCAGCCTATGCAAGAAATAATAGAGGCTGGCCCTTCTTTACAACGCGGGCTCTCATTGGCTATTGTAGGCTGTGAAAGGGACATGTGAGCTCCTATTGGGTCGGATTTGTTGTCATTCGAAAGGTTAGAGTTCAGAAGCTAATTTGAATACAAGCTATCGTAGTTGTTTACATTCAAATCTGAGTTATTACGGTTATAATGACATACGAGCCACCTCTGCCGGCAAATATGAAACAATACCGCAGCAGTCTCTGGGGATTTATTGATGGAATAATGTGTTTTGGACTAAATGTTTTTACTGAATTGGATCATCTGGACCTTTGACAACGTAACAAGACCATTTTTGTTGGAATATAATCAATCGGTGGATTACCATGAGGCTTCATAGGTGAGTCGCGTCAATTTTGATTGCACTGGTTGGTCTGACAGAGGCGCTGATTGTACCCACTGTGGTGATTGTATTTTGAAATGGTTTGCATTGGTCGAATCACAGGGATTTTAGCTTTCAAGCGGTGTATCATATGAGTATGAAGCTAACATAGCAGTGGTGTGCACATACAGAAAGCTGCCGCCAGGACCCTGACGGTCTGCAGGCGGGCAGTTGGAATGTTAAAGAGGTTTTTAATAATTGAAACACATGACCTTAATGTCATATTATGATAAATGCTCTAATATAATCCCTCCACGAATACCTGCAAACTGCCACTGCTATAATTAAACAGGCTTCTTAGCTAGCAGTGCTGTGTGTCATGTTTGTGTGTTTTAGCTAACGTTAACTTAAGTTAATGTTTTTTGTCTTACCTGGTCTCTTATTGGTGAACATGTCGCTTATTTTGCAACATTTAGTATTTAGCTGCATCTGTGGCAAGGGTCTTTCGCTTTGTAATTCTCTCCCTTTCCTTTTCTGACCGTCCGTTTTGTCCGAAAAGAGAAGTAGAGAATTAGACTGATGAACGTGCTTCTTGGAGAGACTGCTGTCTGTCACTCGCACAAGGGTGTGCGCGCACCCTCACACAGAGACACTGCAGCGAGAGAGATGCGCGTCGGTTCTCCTGCTTGATATATAATAAAAAGCTCGCTACATTTTTGCTACCGCTGGTCAAGTTGAAAATTAATGGCAGGCCAAAACGGACCTCAGGCCACCGGGAAAAGTCCCGGTTCTCCCGATTACCAGTCCACCCCTGCCTGCCGCGCAGTTGCAAATTCACGCCAAGAATGGAAAGTTCAGTAAAGCAGCATTACTTGGTTTAGTAACTGTAATAATATTACTGTTTTGGAAAAGTAATCCGTTACACTACTAGTTACTGGGAAAGGTAATATTATTACATGGACATGGTGGTTGTAATCCAGGCCAGCTAGCATGGTCTGATCAGGGTATTCTGGTGAGAAGTACAGGGTTTTGGAAGATTCCAAAACTGCAGATAACCTGAGGGCACAGTAGAAATAAAACATTCAGTATTTTTCCCTTCTGGTAATATAATTCATGGCTTGTGAAATCTTTAGGGTTAAGGTTAGGCATTTTGTTGTGATGGTTAACGTTAGGATAAGGGACTAGGGAATACATGATATCAATGAGATGTCCCCACAGAGATAGAGTGTGTGTGTGTGTGTGTGTGTGTGTGTGTGTGTGTGTGTGTGTACATGCAGACAGTTCAAGCAAACTGTTTTGTCAAGTGGTGGCTTCACACATGAAACTAGGTTGTTTCTACCAGAGGAATGGCTCTGCGGCAGCTTCAGAGAAATCACACATTCACCAACCACTGAAGAACTCATTGTGAGTTTGTTTGTTTGTTGTTTGTTTGTTTTAATTAATTAGTTTCACACTCTTGCTCACTCTTACTGGAAATACTAATACCTGCACATTGGGACTGAGGAGAAGATCACATTTGATCACAGCTGCAACTTGTGTGGCTGATCTAGTTATACCACATACCGCTGACTGTCTTAAATTCTTAGTAATGCAACATATTTTAGTGTAAAACATAATATAGTATCTTCAGCCATTGGATAAATGCAGCAGTGTAAAAAAGAGTAAGTAGAGGGGTAACATTTCTCACTTAAGCAAAGTAAAGTGCAATGGCAGAACTTTAGTAAAAATATACTTAACTGCAATACTCAAGAAAAGGAACTTTGTTACTTCTCATCTTTAGCAATCAAATTAAAACAACAGGCATAATAATAATACAATGAAACATAAGTATGTTATTTGTACGTTGTGACTTTCAAACTAATGTTATTTCTTATTTCTAGGGGGTTCTTAAAATTTTCGATTAAGATATTAAACTACAGGAGGGTTGAAACAAACATGACAATTCCACAAACAAGAATTTCAGATGTTTCACTCTGCAGCTATCATCTGATATTGCACCTTTGCAGTTTATTCCCTCAGCTTCAAAGTGAGTAAATCCACAAATACATGTTTTTTTGGTTTTTAAGAAGAATTTCTGAAGAAGATATAAGATAAGAATGCTGACATGTTCATTAACGTCCTTTGTGAGTGCAAAGGGGGCTGCAGAAGGAAGAACATCAGTGTGGTTAGAGTGTGTGAGAGAGAGGAGAGACTGTAAATGTGTGAAGCAGTGTGGTTTAAGATACTTTTTGTAGCTATGTTCACATGATGTGATGAGTCCTACACTTCTGACAATGCTTATTTTTTTTAAATGTCGAATTTTTGATTTTAGACATAATTTAGTCGGGGGTTTCATAGAACATCTTTGATAAGAGATATCCTTAAAACATTACAAAATGAATCTCTTCATAAATGAAAGTTAAAGGCCTTTATTTAGGTCAGAGTTTCCTCCTGCTTCATGCTCTGAGTATTTGGGATTCGTCTAAGATACTGAAATCACTTTCAGAATTATTCTATTATTTAATTATCTATAGTATTTATGTCTGGTTTAATGCTGGCAGATGCTGCCAAGTGGCATATAATGTAAACTGGCTTACTTGTGCATTTGCGATTCTGTTAAAGTTAAAGGCCTTTATTTGGAGACCCCTCTAAGGTTTTAGAAGGTTTTGGTTTTCAGGCTGTTCGTTTGGTTCTGACTAAACTGTTCCTTCACTAATCAGATAAACCCCAACACAGGTGAATGCACACAACCTTGTGAATAAGTATTTATGGATACAAATGCATACACACACACATTAACAAGCACACATGATTTGAAACTGCTTTCAGCCCACATACTTTGGACGTGCAAATGTGCAAATGTTTGGTGAGGACTTGTGACCTCTCTAGTCACGAAGGCAAGGTTTATATATAGTAGACCATTAGACCTGAACACATGCTTAGGACCGGTAGTCTGATCAAATCTTTGACCTGAGGGGTTCAATTGAGACTGGTGAGTTGAGCTTTAAATTAACTTTTGATACAAAATTTCTAAACATTTTGGCATTTACCATGCCAATGTCTTAATTCATCTGTGTTCCTAATACAGTGTTCATTGTTGTTGACTTGTTTTGTGTATGTGCGTTTTTAGCAACAGTTTTTCTGCCTGCAGTGATGAAGGGAAACATGATGGTCTTTGCTCCATTGTGTTTGCTCCTTTGCTGGATGCTGCCTGTAGACTCCATGACGGTGAGTGGAGAAAATCAGTGGACTTTCCCAAAATGTCACCAATGGTATAAGCATAAGTAAAAGTGGTTCATCTGTTGTAATAGATTCTCTATATGTGATCAAATAGGTTGAGACACAAGTTATAAGCACAGACCCGGGATTTTGCATATAGCATTTGTATGCATGGGTATAGCTTTTGTTTTTCTGTTAATTACAGTGACACAAGTGTTAGCTTAAATATTTTGGCTGCAGTGTTACATTGATACATGAGAACTGCAATGACATACCTGCTCTCAACAAGGCCAGGTTTTAACACTCACACTCAAGTACAGTTTAAACAGTGTCTGTTTAATGACCTTTCACTTCACCTTTTCTTTCATTCACTTTTAGATTCGATACAACTTAATTCTACGAGATGCCAACCAGGACATGCCATGGAGCAAGACCATCAATTTGAGTATGGTTGAAGATTCAGTTGATGACATGTACTTTGAGTGCAATAATCAAATGGCGCAAAAAGTCAACAACACATACTTTGAGGAAGAAAAGAGCATGGCTCTATTTGGAGAAGCCTGGAAGGATGCAGAAACTTGCAGTGAAGACAGGCGAGTGAGAGAGGATATCGCTCTAACCAAAGATCACATGCAAGCAATCTGTGTTTATACAGGTAACAAATTGTACAAGGAGTTTAATGTTGCAGTCCGGACACAAAGGAGCAAATATAATAGCTCCTCATTCCAATTCCACACTTTGCATTTCCTGCTGACATCTGCCATACAGATTTTGAGCAGAAATGTCTCCTGTCACACTACTTACAGACGAACCAGAAATGAGTTTATTGGCGAAGACAACCAAATAATTCGGTTTGTGTCCTTTACCTCCAGCTCTTACAGAACAGACTTAAAACTGTTCGGAGACGAGACCTGCTTTAAAATTAAGACATGTTTAGGTGCTTTTTTGAAAAACTATTCACGTTATGTTGAAGAGAAAGAAGTGCTCATTCCCCCCTATGAGGTGTTCAAGATAACTAAGACAATTAAAGGTAAGGGTAAAATTCAAGGTCTGGATGACTGTAAAATTGTCTATGAAGTGGAAAGTGCAGGATGTAAGAGCAATCTGAACTGCAAGGCTGCGTACCCATGAGGATTCAGTGGTTTTTGTCCAACTGGTGGGGAAAGCCAATCCGTCATCTTTAAATTTTCTAATTCTCTTGTAAAAACTGAATTAATTAGATGATAGATAACAAAGCTAAACATTCTCTTCAATCCATAACTTGCTCAGGGTTTGTTTGATCATTGCGGGTTTATGTTTTACGCAGTCCTCCAGCAACATATTACGATGTGTTCCATTCCACAAGACATTTTTTGTAAGTTGTTGGAAATTGCAGAAATTCCTGCTTTGGTTTAGTGAGGACTATCATTAAACTGCTTAATGCAATAATGCTGCTTGTATCTTTTTCATTTTTCTGTGTAATGTTTTATTCACTTACACTAAAGTTCAAAACCCTAAACTAACAGCTGATGTTAAAGGGCTTCTTTTACAGTCAAAGGTAATGGAAGACAATCATTTTCCAAACGAAACACTTCTTCATTACTTTCAGTGAACCCGATCATCAAAAGAACATATAGTATTTATTCTTTGATAAAACAGAGTGACAAAGTTGGAGAGGATATAATGGACAGCCAGGGTTTTGTCCATTTTGTGAAAACAATGAAGAAGAAGTGGTGTTAGTAGTAGTTGACTGGTTTATTAGAAGTAAGAAAAGAAGAGAAATTTAGACAAATGGAGGCCCACACGTATTATTTAGCACAAGAGTCGACAGAGCGTGTCAGCCACAGTAGCTTCTCCTGAGCGCTTGGAAAGGCAGAGGTGAGCGGTGCATTCATGTGTTGTCGTCGTAATAATCAGAATCTTTTTTTCCTCCTCAAATCTTTATTGCCAAAAGAGAAATATAGTGTACATGCGACATAACTAAAAATACAGAACTTTGATTTGTGCAAAGAACGTAGCGCATGTACATATATTGCAAACATGTAATCTGTTGGTTAAAGCTAGAACCCGACCGATTTGGGTTTTGGGGGGCCAATGCCGATATTAAATGTGAAAAGCAATTTACGAGTCGATATTTTGATTTTGAAAATGATATGGATAGTAGATCTCTTTCCTGTCCAAACTACACTTAGAACAGGCCAATATTGAAAGCTGTTCTGTATGTGTGCTATAAAACATTTTCCTAAAATAATGTGTGCTTTCACTTAGCGATCCAGCTTGCCAGAACCAGCAGAGTAGAAAAAGACTACTTACTTTCTGCTTTGTTCTCTTAGTGTACGAGCGTGTAGCTATTATATTAGTATGGCTGGAACTAGATTGCACAGGTGAAAGGAACAAAGCTTTCAGTCCCTGAGAGGGGTTGGTTGGAGAAGAGTGTTCACGTCTGCACTCTGGGATCTTCTAAGTTTCTGTCATTCGTTTCTTTCACTTGATCAGTCTCTTTCTCAAGTAACTTTCTTGAGCCTCCTGAGTCCTCTCAGCCTCTTGTCTAACAAGAGGACAGAACTGTCTGGCTGTGGTGCGAAGCTTTGGCTGACTGAGTATTCTGCTGTGGCATGGTAGGTCCCTGTGGCTCAGGCCTCACAAGTCTGGAGCATGGGATTCTGCTCCAGAGATCATGATGGTAAGCAGGGGCAGACTAGGACAAAAATTCAGCCCTGGCACTGCCACACCAGCCCACATTACCACACATCCCCACTCACAAACACACATTCACTACATAGACTACATTTGTGGACAGATGGTCAAATAGTATAAGCAGTAGGCCTACCGTATGTAACAGATTTGTCTGAGCACACGTTTAAAACAAATTTACACATACAGTTAAAACAATGACTGTCCATCTGAGTATGTTGTTGAGTCTGTGTACTCTCTGTCTTTGCTAGGCCCTACAGTAACATCCTTCCTCGCAGCACTGGTACTAGAAAACCATGGGTCTGTGTCTGTACTGATTCCAGCAACATCCTAGTTCATGAACACATTTCAGGATGTAAACATTGCAAAAAAATGTTTTCTCACACACTGCTCTCAACATTGGAATACACATGAATAAAAACAAGTAAGTCTGGTAAATGGCAGATGTAGAAAGGATTATGGATTTCTGTTCTGACAAAAGGAACTTTACTGTCAATTAGATTATGTTGCACTCTCTCTGATGAGATGTTTAATTTGGACTTGTCCCAATTTAAGTAAACCTAATCGAGTTTGTTAGCTCATCTCAGGACATGGGGCCTGTACCACTAAGCGAGTTCAACATACCCTGGAACGTCTACCAGTATCAACCAAGTCCAGTTGCCCTTGACTTTAACCTTCGTTGGATAACTATGACCTGGAACACTTTCACTGTCCAAGAAAAATAATAAATCCATAGGCATAAACTCTTACTGTCTCATCATGGACTGTCCTTATAGTTTGGCTTAAAGAGGTCATATGCTCATTTTCAGATTCAAATTCTTATTTAGGGGTTGTACCAGAACAGGTTTACATGGTTTCATTTTCAAAATACACACATATTTTTTGTCATACTGCACATTGCTGCAGCCCCTCTTTTCACCCTATATGTTGAATGCTTCGTTTTAGCTATGGAGTGATACATCTTGTTTCTAAATTCTAAATGATCTTTGTTGGGAGTTACAGATGCGCAGTTCCTAGTTAAGAACTACTAGCCAACCAGAAGCAGAGAAGGGCGGGTCGTGAGAAACCCGTAAACACGGCTTTTCTTGCCATTTTGTGTGGTAAACTACATCACAGTAGGCCTGGTATTGGGAAATAAACTATAAACACATGTCCTTATGGCAAAATACGATAACCGGGAGATAACTGCTTGCATGAAAAATGACTTCATGTCTGTTTTTTTCTCTTTACATATCCTTCTCTTCACTGATTTTTAAAGGTTACCTGTTTTCAACACACTATACTTACATGTTTTATAAATAACGTGGGGATTGGCATGGTTAGAGACTGCTTTTTGAAGGTTAAGATGTGGTTTTAGAGTTCAGGTTACAATTAGGTTAGGGTTAAGGTTAAGGTTAGGCATGTAGTTGTGATGGTTGTGTGTGCACATGCAGACAGTTCAAGCGAACTGTTTTGTCAAGTGGTGGCTTCACACATGAAACTAGGTTGTTTCTATCAGAGGAATGGCTCTGTGGCAGCTTCAGAAAAATCACACATTCACCAACCACTGAAGAACTCATTGTGAGTTTGTTTTTTTGTTTGTTTGTTTTAATTAATTAGTTTCACACTCTTGCTCACTCTTACAGGAAATACTAATACCTGCACATTGGGACTGAGGAGAAGATCACATTTGATCAAAGCTGCAACTTGTTAAAAAGTGTAAAATACCACATACTGCTGAATGTCTTAAATTCTTAGTTGTGCAACACATTTGACCCTTGTAAAGTAGTGGGGTAACATTTCTCACTTGCACTTGTAATGACAGAACTTTAGTAAAAATATACTTAACTGCAATACTCAAGAAAAGTAACTTTGTTACTTCTCATCATTAGCAATCAAATTAAAACAACAGGCATAATGATAATATATATAGATATGATGAAACAAAAAGTACAGTATGTGCACATTCTGACATTCCAATGTTATTTCTTATTTCTAGGGGGGTTCTTAAAATTTTCGATTAAGATATTAAACTACAGGAGGGTTGAAACATACATGACAATCCCACAAACAAGAATTTCAGATGTTTCACTCTGCAGCTATCATCTGATATTGCACCTTTGCAGTTTATTCCCTCAGCTTCAAAGTGAGTAAATCCACAAATACATGTCTTTTTTGGTTTTTAAGAATTTCTGAAGAAGATATAAGATAAGAATGCTGACATGTTCATTAACGTCCTTTGTGAGTGCAAAGGGGGCTGCAGAAGGAAGAACATCAGTGTGGTTAGAGTGTGTGAGAGAGAGGAGAGACTGTAAATGTGTGAAGCAGTGTGGTTTAAGATACTTTTCGTAGCTATCTTCACATAGATTAGTCCTACACTTCTGACAATGCTTATTTTTTTTAAATGTCAAATTTTTGATTTATTAGACATAATTTAGTCAGGAGTTTCATAGAACTTCTTTGATAAGAGATATCCATATAACATTACAAAATGAATCTCTTCATAAATCTATGAAAATTAAAGGCCTTTATTTAGGTCAGAGTTTCCTCCTGCGTCATGTATGAGTATTTGGGATTCATATAACATACTGAAATGACTTTCAGAATCAGAATCAGAAGGAGCTTTCTTTGCAAAGTAGTATTTTACACATACAAGGAATTTGCTTTGGTAATAGGGTGGTACACGTAGACAAACATACAGTTGACATAATTAAATGTAGAAATATATAAATATGGAATAAACAAATGCAAGTCATATAAGAATAATAAAAGAATAGAGAAAAATAATTCAATTATTTGCAGAGAAAAACAATGTGGCAGATTTTACATGTGCATTACTCTGGTTTGTGTTGTGCATACATTTTGCTAGGGAAGAGAATATTGTGTACATAAATATATAAATTGAACATCAACAAATATATGCATACACACACTAACAAGCACACTCATGCTTTGAAACTGCAGTCTGCCCACGTAGTTTGGACGTGTAAACGTGCAAATTGTGCGTGAGGACTTGTGACTTTTCTGTTCACAAAATATTTTCCCTTCCTACTGGTGAGCTGAGCTTTCAAATTAACTTTTGATACAAAATTTCTGAACATTTTGGCATTTACCACACCAATGTTTTAATTTATCTGTGTTACTAATACACAATGTTCATTGTTGTTGACTTGTTATGTGTATGTGCGTTTATTCAGTTTTTCTAAATAGTGATGAAGGGAAACATGATGTTCTTTGCTCAACTGTGTTTACTGCTTTGCTGGATGCTGCCTGTAGACTCTATGACTGTGAGTGGAGCAAGTGAAAATCAGAGGACTTTCCCAAAATGTCACAAATATTAACAGGGGTGCTTACATAATTACTTTGCTCAAACATTTAGGGAAAAACACCACATAAGTTAATTAATTTAGAGATCAAGTGCATAAGCATAAAGAAGCAGAGTTTACAAGGAGTTTAATGTTGCAGTCCGGACAGAAAGAAGCAAGTACAATAGTTCCTCATTCCAATTCCACTTGTTGCATATTTGAATAAAACTCAGGGTGGCTTTGAGTTTTTTTATTGTAGGCTGCAACATAAACAAAGATGGGTACATTGTAATAAGCACACCATCTGTTCAACCTCAAGTGTTACAGGTATGTACCACTGTGTTGCAGCTGCTCCAAACATTACTTACTAGCAGGTATACTCCCTCTTGTGGTATAAGTTGGAACACCCACATCTCAACAATGCCCTGCCTGTGTACCCGGAGCATAATACATAACCAAACAATGCTAAGAAGCAAAGGTACTACAGAACAATACATGGAAAAACAACAAAATAAACCCCACTGCTACACCCAAAACAATATGTAAGGGGGGGGGGGGTACCTCTTTTATGGACTGAACCCATCATCCTCACACACTCTACTCTTTACATTTCCTGCTTACATCTCTCATAGAGATCTTGAACAGAAATTTCCACTGTCACACTACCTACCGATGAACCAAAGATAAGTTTTATTGGTCAACCAAAGAAATTGGTTTGGGTCCTTCAACTCCAGCTCTTCCGAAAAAGACTTGAAAGACTTCTAATGAGACCTGCTTTAAAATTAAGACCTGTTCAGGTGCTTTTTTGAAAAACTATTCATATTATGATCAAGAGAAAGAAGTGCTCATCCCTCCCTATGAGATGTTCATGATGAGATAATTAATGATAAGGGTGAAACTCAAGGTCTGGATGACTGTAAAATTGTCTATGATGTAGAAAGTGTAGGGGGTAAAAGTAATCTGAACTGCAAGTCTGCATACCCATGAGGGTCCAGTGGTTCTTATCTAACTGGTGTGAAAAACATCATGTCATGTTTAAACCTTTTAACTCTCTCTCATAACTGAATTAATTACATTATATATAACAAAGCTAAACATTCTCTTTAGTCCCAAATGTGCTCAAGGTTTGTTTAATCACTGTGGGCTTATGTTTTACATGGTCCTCCAGGAACACATTACCGTGTACAATTTACATTTTTGAGAAGTTGTTTGAATTTGTTGGAAGAAATTGCAAAAATCTTGTTTTTGTTAAGTGAATATTATCATTAAACTTCTTAATGCAATATTATTGCTTGTATGCCCTCATTTCTCTGTGTAATGTTTTATTTTGTTACTTATACTGATGTTCAAAATCTAAAACTAATAGCTGGTGTTAAAGAGCTTCTGTTATAGTCAAAATAATAATAATAATAATAGAAGAGAATCATTTTCCAAATGTAACATTTCCAAATGGACCCTGGTGTATTATATTTAGTAGTCTTCACAATGCAATGTGGTGTTTATTATAATTAGTAGTCATATTGACTCTGGTGTATATTAAATGTGGTAGTTTTCCAAATGGAATCTGGTATATATTTTAATTAGTAGTTTTCGTATTGACTCTGCTCTGTATTATAATTAGTAGTTCTGATATTGATTCTGGTGCATATTATAAGTGGTGGTTTTCATATTGATTCTGGTGTATATTATAATTATTTATATATATATATTTATATATAATTTTGATATTGACTCTGTGTACATTATAATTGGTAGTTGTTCAAATGGATTCTAGTGTATATCCTAATTAGTGGTTTTCCAAATGGACTAGGGTGTATACTATAATTAGTAGTTTTCATATTGACTCCTGTGTACATTATAAGTGGTTGTTTTCCAAATGGATTCTGGTCTTTATTATAATTAGTAGTTTATTAAATGGACTCTGGTGTATATTATAATTAGTAGTTTAATAAATGGACTCTGGTGTATATTATAATTGACCCTTCGCTAAGCCATGCCCCCATTAGTTAGTGTTGCTAAGTCCGAAAAACTGTCAGACCTGTCGAACTTTTATCACGGCGCTGCCACTGTCTATTACTGCACTCCCAGGAGAAATATTGTCAAATTTTTGGAAAAAACGATCTCAGAAAGAAGCACACCGTTTTGCAGTTGCATTGTGCATTTGAAGATTATATTCAGGCTGTCAAACTAACAAAAATAAAGACAGAAGCTAAAGCCTACAGATCACAGAGTGAAAGTGAACGTCGTCTCTTGAGACGCAAACAAGTCCACGTCTATGGGGCCGAACCTTTCACATAATAACTCCACCACCTGAGGGTGGAGTCTCCATTCCCCGGGCCTCAGCCCCTGTCTCGACAGCAGGTCTGCTCCTTGATTCTGGGTCCCAGGGACGTATGTCGCTCTGAGGGACAGCAGGAGGATCTGATGTGCCAGTTTGCATAACGGGCGCAAGCGCAGACCCCCCTGGTGATTCAAATAGGCCACCACCGCCATGTTGTCGGTCCTGACAAGGACGAGAGCGGGCAGAAAACTCCTCAGAGCTCTGAAAACCGCCAACATTTCCAGGCAATTTATGTGCCAAGAGAAATGATGCTCCTCCCAGGAGCCTCTCGCAAAGCGGCCGTCCATGACCGCGCCCCATCCCGTGAGTGAGGCGTCTGTCAAAAAAATTGTTTGCCGACAGATCGCTCCCAACACGGGACCTTGGGACAGGAACCAAGATTTCCTCCATACAGACAGGGAACGAAGGCATCTGCTCGTAACCCATATCAGACGGAGCGGATTTCCCCTCGGGGAGAATCCCTTGGATTTTAGCCACCACTGCAGGGCTCTCATGCGCAGCAGGCCAGACGGGATTACGCTGGACGCTGCTGCCAGGAGACCCAACACCCTCTGAAAGTGTTTTACAGTGATGGTGCGGCCTAGCTTCACTCTGGTCACTGAGGACAAAATGGACCCGACGCGTGCAGGCGACAGGTGGGCCCGCATCGTCGTCGAGTCCCACACCACCCCTAGGAACGTAGTCCGTTGGGCGGGCATCAGCACGCTTTTCTTTGCGTTGAGCCGCAGCCCCAAACACTGAAGGTGGGCGAGGACGACATCTCGATGCCGAACCGCTAACTCCCGAGACTGAGCCAAGATGAGCCAGTCGTCGATGTAGTTCAATATGCTAGAGCCTCAGCGGGGCCAGAGCTGCATCCATGCATTTGGTGAACGTGCGAGGAGAGAGTGCTAGGCCGAACGGAAGAACCCGATATTGGTACGCTGCCCCCCCCGAAGGCAAACCTCAGGAACTTCCTGTGAGAGGGACGGATGGAGATGTGGAAATATGCGTCTCGTAGATCTATCGTGACAAACCAATCCTCGGATTGGATGTGACTGATAATGGCAGGGATGGTGAGCACCCTGAACCTGAATCTCCTCAGAGATTGGTTCAGGGACCGCAGATCTAAAATTGGACGCAGTCCTCCGTCCTTCTTGGGAACTGTGAAGTACTGGCTGTAGAACCCGGACTCCCTAACTGGCGGGGAAATGAGTTCTATGGCCCCTTTCTCCAGCAGAGAGCGAACTTGAATCTGGGGGGGCGGACCCGGAACTGCAGCCTGTAGCCCTCCATGACGTTGCTCAGGACCCACGGGGAAATGCCTTGCGGGGCCTCAACCTGCCGAAAACCCGTGACATGTGAGCCCGAGCGCCTCCGGACTGCAGCCCCTTGAGGCGGGCAGAATGGCGCATGCTCGCTGGAGGCTAGCGCGTCCCGAACGTTGACACGCCAGGATAACAACTCCCTGCTGCCACAAGGGAGGGGACCTCGTTCGCCTTCTCTCAGAGAGGGGGGGGGTGCCGCTCCGTGGCCACCAGCGCCGACATGGAACGGCCGATGGCACGGGCCGTCTCTTTCGTAACTCGGAGAGACAGAGCTCGGCAACATCCTCCTCAGAGGGGCCTCCTCCCGAGTCCATGTCTTTCAGCAGGTCGGCCTGGTATGCCTGCAAAACCGCCATTGTGTGCAGGCTCGCACCAGCCCGGTCCGCCACTGTGCACGCCTTGCCCACCAGAGCAGATGTCACGCGACATGGCTTGGTAGGCAGCGCCGGCTCTTTAAGGGACGACGCAAGGCCGGGCAAGAGATAGCTGGCCAAAGCATCCTCAACCCGGGGCATCGTCCCATAACCAGAGCCCTTGACCCCCGCAACGTCACTATAAACCCGGAGCAGGGGAGTAGTCAAACGTGCTGAGAAGGGCTTACCCCAGGATTTGCACAACTTGTCATGCAAATCCGGGAAAAAGGGCAGAGATCAGCGTGGAGGCGGCGCGCGCTGCTGTAGGAAGCGCCCATCCAGCTTACTGGCAGCCTGTGTGTCTGGCATGGGCTGCGGCCAATCAAGCTGGAGCTTACCCACCGCTCGTGTCACCACCTCCAAGAGCTCGTCATAGCTTGGCGCTGACTGATGACGTTGCTCCGGTACCCGGAAGTCTTCCTCCTCCAAAATGCTGAGCACATCCAGCTCCTCAGAGCCGGACAGCTGCAGCCTCTCCGGGCTCACACCCCGAGCGGGAGAAGCCGAAAAACGGGCTCCCGAACGGGGAAGAGGGGAGTCGGAGCCAGCAGACGAGGAACGGGAAAAAGCCTCAGCAGTCCCGATGCCGTTGGAAATGTCGCGCTGGGAGCCCCATGACCGAAGCCGCCGTGCCACCTCAGCGACCGCCGGGCCCGAGCCACGGGGAGAGCGCATCCAGCTGTCTCCAGAGAAAAGAGCCGCACGGGACCTCAGCACCCTCAGGGGCAGGGCCTCGCAATGGCCGCTAACAGCCCCCTCGAGAGCTGCCTGGGCATGCGGCATCCCCAGACAGGAAATGTACAGGGCATGAGTGTCCCCAGCCGTGATGTAGCGCGGGCATGGAAAGACACACTGCCTGAATTGCTCACCAGCCATCTCTTCTGCTTCTGCTTCCAGGTAATCTTTCCGTACTGTGGTAGCTTTTTTCTGCGTAGTCTCAAACATGCCAGAGTGCCTGCTGAATAGAAAAAAGCTAATGTGTCCGGTGTGCCGGTGTGCTTATATACGCCTCCAGTTACGCCGTCACACGCTACAGTTCTAGCAATGCCAATAGGATTGGAGTAGTTTCATTCATGATTTCAGCCCTGCCACGCCCAGAGGCGTTCCCATAGTGTCGTCACCGACGCAGTTCGAGTTCCCTCGAAGGGGAACCACCCTTTTACCTGACAGCAGGCAAAGAGGTACAACGATATTAAGGATCAACACTGCTCCTGTACAGCTGGGTAGGTCTCTGTTCACTATTACAATCATTAAAAAGCAGAACAGTAGGGCTATATTACATCCAGCAGTAAGTTAGCTAGCATTAGCTAACTAATATTACATTAGGAACGATCCACAGCCTACATTTTTCTGGATTTGTTTCGGGTTTTGGAAAGGGAATAAATCGTCCTTCTTTCAACCTCGCTGGGTAGCGACTGTAATTATTACAAGTGCCCCAGGAAAAATACAGCAAAAGAAAAAGCTAGAAAACAACGCCTTTTGCATACAAGTCAATGGAGCGCAGCCATGAAAGTGTCGGACCTCAGTTAGAGCTAGACCTATTCTGTGCTGTGATTGGCCAGCTGTATTTTCAGGGCGTGGCTTAGCGAAGGGTTAATTAGTAGTTTGCCAAATGGACTCTGGTGTATATTACAGGCATGCAAACTCATCACCTTTCTGCTAAATTCGCCATTTTGAAACCAAAATGGGTATCCTATGTGATTTGTGCAGATCCCATGAGAAAACATTTGGGGGGGATCGGTCGTTGCTAAGACAGCAATTAGGCCTACCCGTTTTATCCTCTCTAGCATGAACTTTGCAACTTTAACCTATCTTCACT